GCCTGTAGTCCCAGCTACTTGGGAGGCTGAGGCAAGAGAATCGCTTTAAGCCCAAGAGTTGGAGGTTGCTGTGAGCTGTGATGCCATGGCACTCTACCAAGGGTGACATGGTGAGACTGTCTCAAAAATAAATACATTTACATTGTTGTGCAACCATCACCACCATCCATGTGTAGAACTTTTCATGTCCCTGTACTGAAACTCTGCCCATTCAATAATAACTCCGCATTCCTCCACCCCTCATTACCCGGTAACCACTTTTCTATTTTATATTTATGAATTTGACTATTCTAGGTACCTCGCATAAGTGGTATCATATAACATGTCTTTTTTGTTGTTTGGGCCAGCTTATTGCATTAGCATAATGTCTTCAGTGTTCATCCATGTTGTAGCATGTATCAAAATTCATTTCTTTGTAAGGCTAAAAAATATTTCATTATATTTTTTATTAGTGCAATGATGGACACTTGGTTTGCTTTTGCCTTTTGGCTATTGTGAGTAATGCTGCTGTGAACATGAGTATACAGATACCTGTTCGTGTCCCTGCTTTCAGTCTTTTGGGTGTACATGGGTCACTACAAAAGTTTTGAGACAGACTGTGTGATGGTCTCTTATTTCTTTCTTTTTTTGAGACAGTGCCCCAAGCTATCACCCTGGGTAGAGTGCTGTAGCATCATAGCTCACAGCAAACTCCAACTCCTGGGCTCAAGTGATTTTCCTGCCTCCGCCTCTCAAGTAGCTTGGACTACAGGTGCCCGCCACAGCACCTGGCTATTTTTTGGTTGCAGCCATCATTGTTGTTTGGCAGGCCTGGACTGGATTTGACCCTGCCAGCTCAGGTATATCTGTGGCTGGTGCCTTAGCCTATTGAGCCACAGGCGCCGAGCCAATGGTCTCTTATTTCACTTTCAAGAAAAACAGTCAAACCGGGCATGGTGGCTCATATCTGTAATCCCAGCACTTTGGGAGGCCGAGGTGGGTGGATCATCTAAGCTCATGATTTCCAGACCAGCTTAAGCAAGAGCAAGCGCCATCACTTAATAAAAAAAAAAAAATAGAGGCAGCACCTGTGGCTCAGTGAGTAGGGTGCCGGCCCCATATACTGAGGGTAGTGGGTTCAAACCCGGCCCCGGCCAAACTGCAACAATAAATAAATAAATAAATAAAAAGTATGTAAAAACAAAAATAGCCGGTCACTGTGGCAGGCACCTATAGTCCCAGATATTTGGGAGGCTAAGGCAAAAGAATCACTTGAGCCCAAGAGTTAGAGGTTGCTGTGAGCTGTGATGCCAGGGCACTCTACCAGGGATGACAAAGTGAGACTCTGTCTTAAGAAAAAAAAAAGAAAGAAAAAGAAAAACAGTTGACAGTGTCCTTTCCGATTCACTGTGCAAATTTCAACTTTCTTGGCTTATCAGTGTTGCTAGGAGGGCTTCATTTGTTTCTGTCCACAGGGATTTTACATTTCTTGATTTTCGTGTATTTCAAAATTTTTGTAATGACCCTTATGTATGCCAGAAGTGGCATTGCTAGATCCTGTGGTAATTCTATGTTTAAGTTTTTAGGAAAGTACTGTACAGTTTTCCATCATGCTTTCCCCATTTTTCCCAAGCCCCTGCATTCTTAGGGTTTCCTCAGTTACTCCGTTTCTCCATCCCCAGGGACATTCTCCTGAACTTGCTAATGGTTCTCGAAGCAAGGATGTTCTGTCCTTTTCCTCTTCCAAAATTCTCAGAAAGTCTTTAAAGCTGGGATGGTCCTTAGAGCTCATCTAGTCCATCTTTACCCATTTTTCAAATGAGGAAACTGTGGCCCAGACATGGGAAATGGCTTGCCCATGGTCACATTGCTTCCTTTTGTGATTCCACCCTTCTGCTAATCTTTTGCTCAGCTGCCAAGTGAATGCAGAAACCAGGAATTTCTCCTGCTTCTGATTCTTCCTTGGAGTGAACCAGAGGATACCTGGGATCCTGTGATGGGGGCAGGGGAAGGAAAGCCAAACCAGAACTTGACCCCTTCTCTCTGCACAGGACCAACCTCCCTACCACCTGAAGGCCTTCAACCTGAGCATCACCTTCCCTGGGGAGTACCCATTCAAGCCCCCCATGGTAAAATTCACAACCAAGATCTACCACCCCAATGTGGACGAGAATGGCCAGGTCTGCCTGCCCATCATCAGCAACGAGAACTGGAAGCCTTGCACCAAGACCTGCCAAGGTGGGGCTGGGCCTTTGACTGGGCGCAGGGTCTGATCCTGGGTTAGGGGTTACTGGAGAGAGATTATCGGGCTTATTTTGAGTTAGAAGAGCCCAAAAGAGAGGAGATAAAATCTGTAAGTTGCAGCTGAACTTATATAGAAGGGATTCTTCCTCTGATCCAAGACAGGCTGACTTGCTCCTGCCTCTGTCCCTGCACCTAAGCAGATGTAACAGAGGAAGTTTGCCACAGTTCGTGAGAAAGAGAGGCAGTTTGGCTTTGGGTAAGAAGGTCTGCTGTTCCATCTGTGGACTTTGGCCTCAGTTCCCTAAATGGCCACGGAGGGGTCTGGCATAATAATGATAATACCCATCAGGTATCGAGCACTTTTGGTACTATGCTGAAAGCATCGCACGCCAACTACATTTTTATCCCTTCAACAGCCCACAGGGCAATGCTATCATTAGCCCCGTTTAATAGATGGGGACTCTGAGGCATACGAGAGGTGAAGTGGTTGCTTGAGGTCATACAGCTGGCAGAGCTTGGCTAACTCAGGAGCAGACGTGTCCTCAGTACTGTGGTCACTAACCTCATGTGGCTAGTGCAACTTAGGAACTGAAGTCTTCCTTGTATTTAATTGTAATTAATATAAATTGGATGACCACATGTGGCTAGCAGCTACCATGTTGGACAGTGCAATTCTAGGGGCTTAATCAGTGTGCTGTCCTGCATCTGGACCAGCTCAGGAGTTCTAAACCCCTGAGACAAGCATCCTTGGGTGGGTACGGGGAGATGGCAGAGAAGTGGTCCTTGGATGAGCCTCAGGGGTTCTGTGAAGCACTCACACTGTAGAACTGTGTGTGTGTGTGTGTGTGTGTGTGTGCACGTGTGCACGTGCCTAGGGAGATGGGCTGCTGCCTCCACTAGGTTTCTGGATGCTTCTGTGAGAGATGAAAGGCCATGAGGCAGTGGTGGTTTTCAGTCTTCAGCCTTAGCACCCTTTTGCTGGAATAAAAGTTTACTTCACTGATTCTCTCTGAAATGGTTCTGGAGGACAGCTCATTAAAAAAAAAAAAGTTTAATTGGGACCTGACCTCAATATAACAGAGAAAAACAGAGAGTTTTTTTGTTTGTTTGTTTTTCCTTTGGGAGAGTTTGAGACTGCTTTTTTATTTTTAATTTAATTTTTTAAAATTTCAGGTTAATGTGAGGGTACAAACAACTAGGTTCTAATATTTACATTTATTAGGTAGAGTCCCTCTTACAGTTATGTCTGCGGAAAGGTTCTTGTTGAAATGGGGCTGAGACCCAGACCCCCAACTTACCTCAGTTATCCTGTGATAAGAAGCTTCTCTGAAGCCCACGGAACATAATTGTTTGAAAATCACTGATATAACCAGTCAAGACCTTGCGTTCCATCAACCAAGAACGAGGACGTTTGATTTGGTTATAGAGTCTGGAACCTGTTCAGGGGGTCACCTAAGGAGCAAGTGTGGATTATCGGGGGATCTGGGAATGGGCATTCATCTCTTCCTTCCAGGGCTTTTTCCCTCTGCCCTGATGTCCTGATCTGGTCTCTCTCCCCAGTCTTGGACGCCCTCAACTTGATGGTGAATAAACCGAATCTGGCAGAGCCCCTGAGAGTGGAACTTGCTGACCTGATGCAACAGAATCCAGAGCTGTTCAGAAAGAAGGCTGAAGAGTTCACCCTCCGATTTGGAGTGGACCGGCCCAAATAACTCTGGTTCTGACCCCTCGCTGTGCTGGATCCTCTGTGTGGTGGATGGACACCACCTCATGGACTGGGGCCAGAGCCCCTTTATGGCCCATTCCCTGTGCATTTTTCCTCCTTAGGTTGTTAGTTGTGAGTTTGTGTGTGTGTGTGCGGTGGAGGGAGGGGCTGTGGGTATGTGTGTCGTGGGTGGATTCCCTCCCAGGTCACCTGGCTACCGGTGCACCCCTCCCCAACTCCTCTTTCATACCCCAGAGCTGGGGGCTTTCAAGTTTTCAGGGTTACAGGCCAGTTCTCCGGCTCTCCATCTTAGTGAGACAGGTCACCTTCTAGGTCAGCTTGTAGCCAAGCAGAATTCCCCTAGGGCCCAGGTATTGAGGGGTCAGAGGAGAGTGGGGAATCTGGGGGGGAGACATCTGGAGGGTCCCATACCAACGCCTGAGTGATTGACATCAGCCAAACTGCTGATAGGCATGTTCAAACTTAGGTGCTAAACCTTTTATTTTCCACTGATGAATCATAGTGTGAAATATCTAACTTCTGTCCCAGAAATCTGACTGCGTGTTTCGAAACCACTTGCTGTTTATCCTGTTAGGTTGCTAGTTCTTGGGGACCAGGCCTCAGGCTGTGAGGTGTGAGCATCCAGTCCAAGGGAGGCCACAAAGACCACTTGCTTTCTTGCCATTAAAGTCACAGATGAATTCTGGAGTTCAACTGAGTCTTCAATGAGGAGGGATGGGCTGGGGATTTAGCGGCTATCTAATGAAACAGCTGTTCTCAACCTGTGGGTCCTGCCCCACAGGAACTGTAGTAAAGGGTTGTGGCATTAGGAAAGTTGAGAACCACTCAACTGCTGCTTCCTTTGGATAGTCCCCCAAACACTATAGGGAATGCTGGCCATGAGAGAAGGGCCATCCTTGGCCAGAGGAGTCTTCAGAAGGTCCATAGGGGTAACAGCTCCTTTTTATAGATGAGATGACTGAGGCACAGAGCACTTGAGCGGATTGTGTGGTCCACACTGCCAGTCAGGGCAGAGTCCACACCTCTTGCAGATGAGCTAAGCTGGCTGAGGTGTGTTTTGTTTTTTGAGTTTTGTTTCTTTTTAATGATTTGTTCTCATCAGCACACATACCCCAGATGACTGATGAAGCCAGACTGATTGTTAGCAGGAAACTGTAATCAGCCCACAGGGTCATGAATGGTAAAAAAAACAGAAACAAGCCAAATCTTCAGCCACAATTGGAGGGGTTCACCTCACCTGACGCAAGACCTTACTGATTGCAGTTGTTGTAAGCGACTGGAAAACCACTCACTGGCTTTTAAGAGACAACGTGAGGCATCCTTGATTCAAGGGAATCATCCCAGATCCCCCTGGCCCAGTTAGGGTAAGATTTCCAGAGAACTTTCTCCAGCTCCTGGCCTTGAGTTCCCTAATCTGGAAGGAAATGTGGAAAGAAGGGAAGATAACTGGGAAAAGTGCCACCACTAGCTTGAAATGTAAGTTTGGTTTTTATTTTTGGCAGTCCCCTCCATGGGAGAGGCAAACCCTTCATGCCCTGTGAGCCTGGGGAATGGAGGAGGCCTCCTCCCAAGCATCATGGAGGAGCCCACTGGGAGGCTGTGGCATTGCCATGCCCTTAATGTGGCAGGCACTGGTGAAGCTTTTTGCTCTTTTCATTATCTAACCTTCGCAGTATCTCCATGAGGCTGGAACTCCTGTTATGCCCATTCATACTATAAACCGAAGCTTGTGTGACCCAAGGTCATATAGCTGGTTAGTGGGGAGACACAGGCTATTGTCCTTTCCCAAACACCTTGCACAGTTGATAAGATTGTAGCAAGTGAGGAAACCCTTGTGGGCAGTGTTCATTATCCCAGGGTATAGTTTTCCAGGCAGGGTACAGAAAGAACACTGAGGGACCACACAGGGTTTTACAAAAGTACTTTTAATGCCATTAAGGCCGGTGCCCTTGGCTAAGCCTTGGCTCTGCTGCCTCTGTGGAGCAGAAGTGGGCCTCCAGGCCATTGCTGGTGAGCTGGACCCTGCCCACGAGGCCCCTCAGCTCCTCATTTTTTCTTGGTCTTCACCAGTCCTTTCTGCACGAGGCTGCGGTACAGCTCCTGGATGTAGGTGTAGACACACTTGGAGTCGGGCACTGCCAGCCTCACCATGTCATCCACTTCCAGCAGCTGGGCACAGTCAGCCAGTTTCCTAGGATTGGAGTAGGGCAGGGAGCAGAGAGTCAAAGGTAAAGGATGTGGGAGCCACGGGTATGGGTGGGGACAGCTCAGCAAGGATGACGCCCACAGAAGCATGTGTTGGAACTGAGAGATCATCTAACCCAACCACCCCATTGTATAGATGAGATAATTGAGTCCTCAGCAGAGTCAAGACCCAAACCCAACTCAGTCTGATTCCTAGCCCAGGTTTTCACTGTCCCTTCACATGAGAGCAGAACCCTCTGGTCTCTGGTTCTACTTTAACCCACGTCTTTCACACATCCATGTATCTGTGCTCTGAAACCAGAAACTCCTGTTAGATTAGACACCTCAGAACAAATTTTATTTTATTTTATTTTATTTTATTTTTTTTGAGATGGAGCCTCAAGCTATCCCCCTGGGTAGAGTGCCGTGGCATCATGCTCACAGCAACCTCCAACTCCTGGGCTCAAGCGAGTCTCCTGCCTCAGCCT